AGCTCCTTTAATTCATTCATATTCCTCTCTAAGTTATCCATTCTTGTTATCATTTCCTCATATCTTTTTTTAAGTTCCTTAGTTTCTTTGCATTGATTTAATACATGTTCTTTTAGCTCACAAAAGTTTCTCATTATCCACCTTCTGAAGTCTAATTCCGTCATTTCATCACAGTCATTCTCCGTCCAGCTTTGTTCCCTTGCTGGTGAGGAGTTTTGGTCCTTTCTAGGAGGCGAGGTGTTCTGGTTTCGGGTGTTTTCCTCCTTTTTGCGCTGGTTTCTTCCCATCTTTGTGGATTTATCCACTTGTCGTCTGCATAGTTGCTGACTTTTCGATTGGGTCTCTGAGTGGACACCCAGATTATTGGTGATGAAGTATTTCTGTTACTTGGTTTCTTTTTTTTTTGATAGAAGGAAAGAAAAAAAAAATAAGTAAAGGAGAGGAAGAAAGAGGAAGAGAAAGAGGGAGAGTAAATGGAAATATTGCTTTATTTTGAAAAAAATTGGGTATTAATGATGGCCAATCAATGTTTCATTTAAATTTATGGGTAGGTGTGATGTGGTATTGACAAGAATGTATATTTTGTGTATTTGAAGTGGAGAGCTCTATAAATATTTATTAAGTTTACTTGTTCTGGATCTGAGCTCGAGTCCTTGATATCCTTATTAATTTTCTGTCTCATTGAATCTAAGTCTTGTATCTGGGTATTAGGATCGTTAGCTCCTGTTGTTGCATTGATCCTTTTACCACCATATCTTTGTGGCTTTAAAATCTATTTGATCAGATGCGAGAATTGCAACTCCTGCTTATTTATTTATTTATGTTTGCTCTCCATTTAGTTGGTTAATCTTTCTCCATCCCTTTGTTTTTAGTCTTTCTGTATCCTTGCATGTGAAATGGGTCTGGATGTAACATGCCATTGGGTTTTGGCTGTGTCTTTTGATTGGGGGATTTAGTCAATTTAAATTTAGGGTTACTGCTGTTTGATGTTAACTGGCTGTTTTATCCATTCGTTGATGTAAATTCTTCTTTATGTTGATGCTCTTTGCTTTTTGGTATATTTTCAGAAAGGCTAATACTGGTTGTTTCTATGTGTAATGCTTCTTTCAGAAGCTCTTGTAAAGCAGGCCTGGTGGTAATAAAATCTCTGAGTACTTGCTTGTTCATAAAAGATTTTATTTTTCCTTTAGTTGTGAAGCCTAGTTTGGCTGGATATGAAATTCTGGGCTGAAGGTTCTGTTCTTTGAGGATGTAGAATATTGGCCCCCACTCTCTTCTGGCTTGTAGAGTTTCTGCTGAGAGATCTGCTGTAAGTCTGATAGGCTTGCCTTTGTGGGTAACCTGCTGACCTTTCTGGCTGCCCTTAGTATTTTCTCCTTCGTTTCAACCCTGGTGAATCTAACGATTATGTGCCTTGGGGTTGCTCTTCTTGAGGAATATCTTTGTGGTGTTCTCTGTATTACCTGGGGTTGAATGTTGACCTGCTTTGCTAGTTCAGGAATATTTTCCTAAATAATATCCTGAAGGGTATTTTCCAGCTTGGATTCATTCTCTCCGTCGCATTCAGGTACACCTATCAAACTTGGTTTTCCTTCTACCAGTCTAGCCCCTTCGCTGTATGACTGCTTAGGTCCACTCCAGGCCCTGCTTGTCTGGGGTGCACCTATAGCAGCTGTGGAAAAGCGAGGGATGCTACCAGTTTCTTTTTCTGCTATCTTTGTCCCAGAATGATGCCTGCCAAATGTCAGTCTTTTGGATATAGAGGGGTTAGGGAGCTGCTTGAGGAGACAGTCTGTACTTTGTAGGAGCTCAATTGCTGAGCTGTGAGCTCTGTTGTTCATTTAGGGCTGATAGGCTGAAAAAAATCCTTTTTTTCTCAGATGCTCTGTCTGGAGGGGGGGGGTTGAGGTTTTCCTTGTGAGTGTCTGCCTCGCTGTCCTCCCCAGCTAGGAGGCAGTCAAATCACTATTTGCCTGCCGAGACTCCGCCCTGCTGGTGTGAGGTTCGCCCTGTTGCTGCAGGTTCTGTCCTTCTGCTGCGGTGTCCGCCCTGTTGCCATGGGCTACGCCCTGTAGCAGAGTCTCTCTGTTTTACTGGGTTGCTTCGGCAACGGCAGGCTACCTCAGCAATGGGCGTGTACCTCAGTGGGGCTGATTGCCTCGGTAATGGCGGACGCTCCTCCCCCGCGGAACTGCGCTTTAAGAAAACCTCCTCACAGGGAGGGTTTGGAATCGCCGTTTTGTTTGTCGCACTGTGCTAGCCCAAACGCTTTGTCCCTGGGATTTCCTGGGCTGGCTCACTGCCCAAGTCCCGTTCAGTCTCAAGTTTAGCCCTCCCAGGTCTGTTTGCCGGTTCAACAGGGCACCCGTAACAGTGCGCTTTTGTACGGAGTGCTGTGGAGCGCCTCTGCACTCCGGCGCAGGCCGGAGCCACACCGGCTGCCAGCTACACCAGCCGAGACCTCTGCCTGGCGTCCCGCGTCTCTTTTTTTTTTTTTTATTGCATTTTAGATTTTGGGGTACATGTGCAGAGCATGCAATACAGTTGCATAGGTACACACATGGCAGTGTGCTTTGTTTGCTTTCTCCCCTTCACCCACATTTGGCATTTCTCCCCAGGCAATCCCTCCCCACCACCCCCTCCCACTGGCCCTCCCCTTTTCCCCACTATAGACCCCAGTGTTTAGTGCTCCCCTCCCTGTGTCCATGTGTTCCCATTTTTCATCACCCGCCTATGAGTGAGAATATGAGGTGTTTCATTTTCTGTTCTTGTGTCAGTTTGCTGAGAATGATGTTCTCCAGATTCATCCATGTCCCTACAAACGACACGAACTCATCATTTCTCATTGCTGCATAATATTCCATGGTGTATATGTGCCACATTTTCCCAATCCAGTCTATCATTGATGGGCATTTTGGTTGATTCCAGGTCTTTGCTATTGTAAACAGTGCTGCAATGAACATTCGTGTGCATGTGTCCTTGTAGTAGAATGATTTATAGTCCTTTGGATATATACCCAGTAATGGGATTGCTGGGTCAAATGGAATTTCTATTTCTAAGGCCTTGAGGAATCGCCACCCCATCTTCCACAATGGTTGGACTAATTTACACTCCCACCAACAGTGTAAAAGTGTTCCTTTTTCTCCACATCCTCTCCAGCATCTGTTGTCTCCAGATTTTTTAATGATCGCCATTCTAACTGGCGTGAGATGGTATCTCAATGTGGTTTTGATTTGCATCTCTCTGATGACCAGTGACCATGAGCATTTTTTCATATGATTGTTGGCCTCATATATGTCTTCTTTCGTAAAGTGTCTGTTCATATCCTTTGCCCATTTTTGAATGGGCTTGTTTGTTTTTTTCCTGTAAATCTGTTTGAGTTCTTTGTAAATTCTGGATATCAGCCCTTTGTCAGATGGGTAAACTGCAAAAATTTTTTCCCATTCTGTTGGTTGCCGATTCACACTAGAGACTGTTTCTTTTGCTGTGCAGAAGCTGTGGAGTTTAATTAGGTCCCACTTGTCTATTTTGGCTTTTGTTGCCAATGCTTTTGGTGTTTTGTTCATGAAGTCCTTGCCTACTCCTATGTCCTGGATGGTTTTGCCTAGATTTCCTTCTAGGGTTTTTATGGTGCCAGGTCTTATGTTTAAGTCTTTAATCCATCTGGAGTTAATTTTGGTGTAAGGTGTCAGGAAGGGGTCCAGTTTCTGCTTTCTACACATGGTAGCCAGTTTTCCCAGCACCATTTGTTGAACAGGGAATCCTTTCCCCATTGCTTGTTTTTGTCAGGTTTATCAAAGATTGTATGGTTGTAGCTATGTTGTGTTGCCTCTGATGCCTCTGTTCTGTTCCATTGATCTACATCTCTGTTTTGGTACCAGTACCATGCTGTTTTGATTACTGTAGCCTTGTAGTATAGTTTGAAATCCGGTAGTGTGATGCCCCCTGCTATGTTCTTTTTGCTTAGAATTGACTTGGCTATGCGGGCTCTCTTTTGGTTCCATATGAAGTTCATGGTGGTTTTTTCCAGTTCTGTGAAGAAAGTCAATGGTAGCTTGATGGGTATAGCATTGATTCTGTAAATTACTTTGGGCAGTATAGCCATTTTCACAATATTAATTCTTCCTAACCATGAACATGAAATGTTTCTCCATCTGTTTGTGTCCTCTCTGATTTCGTTGAGCAGTGGTTTGTAGTTTTCCCTGAAGAGGTCCCTTACGTTCCTTGTGAGTTGTATTCCAAGGTATTTTACTCTTTTTGTAGCAATTGTGAATGGCAGTTCGTTCTTGATTTGGCTCTCTTTAAGTCTGTTATTGGTGTAGAGGAAGGCTTGTGATTTTTGCACATTGATTTTATATCCTGAGACTTTGCTGCCCACGTCTCTTTTATATCTGGGAATTTCCCCGTTCTGTGGGCAACTACGATCCATCTGGAAATGCGTCCCCGACTCACCCTGTCCGCGCATCCAGCGAGAACTTCAATCCTGGGTTGTTCTCACAGCGCCATCTTGAGTCCTCCCCCGAGACCCTCATTTAGACACAGTTCTTGTGAAGACAGAGCAGGAAGCAAGATTTCAAAGCACTGGAAGGCTCTACATTAAATACATATTTCTTCTAAAATCTGCCACCATATCTAAAATACCTCTATAATCCAAACTCATTTATTTGGGTTTTAATTTCTTCTGTAGTATTCTATTAAACTGGACTGGTACCACAGAGTTCATTAATGACAATACCTGATCAGAAAGGAGCTGGTTTCTGGAACCAAGGCCTCCCAGGACAGAGCCAGATGGAGTAAAAAAGGGATAAGTACCTGGTACTAAACAAGATGCTCTGCTTAGGGCATCCATGACCCTTCTTAGCATTTTAAGCAACACCCATTATTTGCACCTTTGTGTCTCTCAACAGAGAATCTTACCCCAGAAGTCATAAAATCTTGAAAACAATCACAGCTAATGCTTGTTACTGCTCTCATACTATTTTAAGACACATCTGTGTTCATTTGGCTTTATAATGCTGTGACTTTTATTCTAATACACACACTGATTTGATTAAACAAAGTTCAGGCGTAAGGCGATATACATCCTTGTTCCCCAAAACATCCAGGCACTATCAGCGTCTTTTGGCACAGATGAGGTATGGTTGGGGCTGCAACGTCATGCCTAACCTAGGCTTCAGATTTGGAACTAGTTCATGTGGAAAATGCAAATGAAACCTCTGAAGTAATGCTGTAAAAAAAAAAAACATTTCCATCCGAGCCAACTGTTCTCCAAGACAATGTCTTCTCCCTAAACAGAAAAAGCAGATATAATAATTTTTTAAACCTCCAATGTTTACCAAAATTAATGTCTAATATTTGGGTGTCATTCAGGAAATCTGGAATTTAAAGAAAGTGAGAGGGAATTATGTTTATTAAAGGATTTTCTTAAATCTCAAATAATAGAAATTGACAGTTCAGCTCCCAGAACCCATTCCTTTACTTCCTTTTGTCAGACAATGGACTTCTGTAACTTTAGTTCCAACTCCCACTTCCCTTGTATTGTACCACAGAGCCTAAAATATGCCATGAAAAATCTAATTTGAGGTGAGATATTTTGCTCAAGAAAAGTCCACTTCATTTCAACTAATTGTGTAGTCTTCCCCATTGAAGGGGAAGAGTTTCTAGTCCATCTTCCATGGGTCTTGTGTACCTTTTCACAGAAGAAACAATATTTTCCTAGTTGAAGAGGAGGTACAATAACCAGAAGCCAAGAGAGTGAGATTCTAGTTTTACTTAAGTGACTGTGTTTTTTCCTTCTCTGTGTCTCAGTTTCTCAACCTACCTGTTACCGACTTCTCATTCCATAAGTTTTGACTATAAGCCAAAAAGCCACAGGCAAAAAGAGTTTTAGAAGAAGCCACAGTTCTCAAAAGTTTATCTCTAGTTAATAAATTATGGCTTATTTTAAGCAAAAGCAGACGTTAATTACTTCCAATTAAATCATTCTCTCCTGTTCAGTGCTATGTTTTTAGATCTAGAATATTTAATTCTATAGCAGAATGCTTCAGATTAAGATGCTATAGCTAATGAACTATTGTTATCCTTTATTCTAAAGTTACGCCCCTGTGAAAGTTCACTTACCTAGGGAAAAAGGAATCAAAGCTTCCTTCTTGGCAAAATATCCACTGTTGTCCAGAAATCGCTCAGGATGGAATACTTCTGGGTCTCTCCAGTACTTTTCATCAAAGTGTACAGAATAAAGATTTGTAATTACTGTTGTGCCTTTAGGAATGGAATAACCACGTACAACTGTATCTTCAGAGGTTGCATGGAGAATCCCTAATGGAACTATGTTACAGAATCTTAAAACTTCATGCAAAACTGCCTCAGTATAAGGCATTTTGCATTTGTCTTCCCAAGAAGGCTTCCCATTGGGGCCCATAATTAAATCAATCTCTTTCTGAACTTGTCCTGTCAGAGAAAAAGTATTCAAGTTATTATGCAATTCTTAGAATTACAGCTTAAGTTATTTCCCTTTGGAATAAAATAAAGGATAACCTATAACAGACAATAGGATATGGATATACCCAGATTCTGATTTTTTTATTATCTGGGAGTTCCACTGAATTATATGCTAACAGTAGCCAGTGCTCTGGGTAGCTGTACTGTGCAAAACATATTAGAAGTAATAAGAATAAACATTAAACAAATCTAGAATTGGAGTAACATCACTCTCAGTAAGAAAAATAGTAAAGCATAAAATTAATTTTTTAATTAAAAAAAATCAGAGTTCAGGTTCCAGCTCTGCCACTTGCAGATACTCAGCCTTTTTTCCTCATTTAAACAATAGGCATAATAAGACCTATTTCAGAGATTTTTTTTTACATGAATTGAGATAATAGATTTGAAAACTTTTTGGAAATATTACATATTTCTACCCTTGGCTGGCACAGCAGGAGTTCCTAAAGAAAATGTATTGTGCATGGCCAAGACTCAAAAACATGTATGAACCCTAAATGTAAGGACAGACCCTGAGATTATCAAGAGAATCCTCACCTTGAATATTAGGATAAAGGGCCATGAAAAGAATTGCCCACCGTAGCACATTGGTTGTAGTTTCTGTTCCAGCAATGATGAGTTCACCCACTGAGAAAATTAGGTTTTCTTTGGAGAAAGTAGATGATGGGTCATTTTTACCTTGATCCATCTCATCTAAATAAGCATCAACAAAATGCTGAGGTAACTGAGGCTTTCTGCTGACTGAAGCTTTTTCAATAAGTCTGGAGAGAAAATTATAGACCACAGCTGCATTTCTAAAGAGCTGTTGATGTTTTCCAAAAGGTAGGATGCCAATCCATGGAAAAGCATTATATAAGAAGACTGAGGGACTGGCAGCTAGTTCCACGTTTTCACTAAATAACTTAATCATGTGCTGAAAATCAGTGTCTTCGTAAGTGAATCGTTCTCCAAGAATAATCAGATTGGTTATGTTTGAAACAGCATTTGTTATTAATTGTTTAAAGTCAAAAGGTCTACCTTTGTATGTTTCAATAGCATCAATGAAAAATTTGGTTTCTTCTAAGATTTTAGATTCAAAAGACTTTTGGCCATATCCAAAATATCGAAAGCTGTTTACAGCTATTCTTCTGTGATCCACCCATCCTCGGCCATATCTGGAATTGAGTAAGCCTGAAAAAACAAAGTATTAAAATATTGTATAATTTCTACTTATCTGTATCTAACAGCTGAGAGGGAACAAAATTTTTTAAATGTATGGTTAGTCATTCTTCTCCAAATTATCCTCCTATATAACTACATGGTTGGGTTCTGTTCTCAGTAACTCATTAGTCAGAGTATTAAAACAGATAAAGTTTTTCTACTCCTTATCTGGGGACTGGCAGAAAAGACTTATAATTGTACCACCCTAAGAAGCTAGTCAGTCTTGTGTAATTTAACCTGGTAAAATAGGCTCAGGGTGACTATATTCTCCAACTTTTACTATAAGCCTAATTTACAAAAGACAAATGACCACGTTCTATGGGCAAAATTTTTTCTTAGACTAAACAAATACCTAAAAAATCATCCTTCTAGAATTATAAATTTTCTGCTTAAAAGAGAATGGCTTTTAGAATATATATTTCCTCCTCTTAAAGGGATATGGTAGACAACAAAGTAACTATGGCAGAAGCAGGTACTCTGAATGAGTTGCCAATTTAGTGAAATGCTGAAGTCAAAAGAAGGGCAAAATGAAGCTCAAACTTTTCTAATGCTGATATTCCCTAACTTAAAATTTCAGAGTCTTCACAGTGTATCTGCTGTTTTGATATGGCTACTATGGAAAATTTCCCCCTTAAATTAATTCAGCATCTTCAGTGTACATATTTATGTCATATGTACTTTACTCAAAATTTCACTCATTACTGGCTACCTATGACAAATCTCACATTGACATACGATTCTCAATGTTGGAGGTGAGGCCTGGTGGGAACTGACTGGATCATAGGGGCAGATCCCTTATTAATGGTCTTACAACATCCCCTTGGTGGTAAGTGAGTTCTCACTCAGTTAGCTCATGGAAGATCTGGTTGTTTAAAAGGTTAGGTCTTCCTGCTACTCACTCTCTTGCTCCCACTGTTGCCATATGACAATGCTGGCTTTCCCCAATGCCTTTTGCCATGATTATGAGCTTCAGCAGAAGCAGATGGCCTCAGCAGAAGCAGATGCCAGCACCACGCTTCCTATAAAGCATGCAGAACCATGAGCCAATTAAATCTCTATCCTTTATAGGTTACCCAGCCTCTGGTATTTTTTTTAATAGAAACACAAAATGGACTAATACAACCCACAATGAAAAATGTTACAATCTCTTGTGTACATGAGATGCATACAAAATTTACATTTCAACAACTTTATACAATAATTTTTGAATCTAGAGCTTATTAAAAAGTTATCATATGTAAGGAAGTCATTAGTGCTATGTAGCAATCTTGCATTCCCATAGTCCATTCTTTTTCTGTTTTCCCAGATGACTATTCATTCAACAAATATTCATTTAACATGTTTTTGTGGAACACCCACTATGTTCCAGACAATGTTCTAAGTGTCAGAAATATATCAGGAAACAAAAGAAGCAAAGATTCCTACTCTCTCAGAGCTTACACACTAATAGGAGAGACAGACAAAATAACAAATAAATTATATAGCAAGTAAAAAGATATAGGGTAGTCAGCCAAAGCGTCACTGAGAAGATGACATCTAAGTAAAGACTAACAGGAGATGATGGAGTGAAACAAACAAATACTTGAGGAAAGACCACTGGAGTTAGAGGCAGCAGCTAGTGCAATGGTGCTAAGATGAAACCAGCCCTAGAGAAATATGTGCATGTGGGGTATATAAACAAGAAGATACAGAGGAGCACTGTTTATTATAACCCTACAATGACCAAGCTGTTGCCTGGGCATGAGGCTGGATCTACCCAAAGGGCAACTTTTTTCCATTCACACAGTGGGCTTAATAGTGGCCATGATTTTCTACTTCCAAGGTCAGTACATAGTACCTTAAAACAACACACATAATGTTCTGCTTTTTAAAAATCTTAAGTTGAATACTTTATGATAAAAATAGTCTAAACAATAAATTTACAGCTTTGAAAAATACATACTTTGTCTCAAATATTACTGTGATTACATTATCTTTCATTTTCGTCATCTTTTTAAAGGTCTTCTACTATAACTGTGGCTTCTTCTTTGGTCTAATTTGAACATTCTATTTTAGGGGGTCTGTTGCTGCTTTCTTCTTACCAATTTTGTCAACTTGCAGTCTTTCCCCCTTGTTGAATATGGAATCTCCAACACCGATCAACACTAAACAATACAGAATGCTAGTCCTTTACACAAACTGTGCAACTCTGCACTTACTAACCACAGTGATTAGCAGTCAAGAAAGCTGCTTCAAGTTCTGTAACCTTATAAGTAAAATGATAGTAAAAATGTCATCAAGTACTCAAGATGGGTTCAAAAGGGCACTTCTGATTCAAGTCCAAGTGTGTGTTTATTCCTAACTTGTTTCACAAAAGCTCATGTTATTAGGTGCTGATTCTTTAAAACATTATTTATAGTACTTATTAGAGCTGACATCAATAGACTTAGCAATGTACTAGTCTAAAATATGAATGTAGTTCATCCTGAAAGGTCCTCAAATACTAGGTTCTATACATAAATAGTTTCTTGTTAATCAGTATAAAATAATCCAACTCTATGTACTAAAACTTAATATAAGAAATGTGATTTAAAATAACTTAGTAAATGACTAAATAGGTGAAAATAAACATACCTCCCATTTTTGTCATCTTCATGAATAAAGGAAGGCATGGTCTGTCTGCAAAAATTTCACTTTGATGAACAAGGCATTGCTTTACTATATCATAGCCATTTAGAACCACAGTTGATATGCCTCCAAGATCTAAACTGAAGATCTTTTAAAAAGAGAAAAAGAAAAACAACATTTAAATGGCAGAACGTATGGAGAAATATAACCATGAAAATCTACAAGTGGTAAGGGCAGCTCTTCCAGGATTTGTTACGTCCCTGAAAATGTAGGCAGCTATTACTCAAGTGACAATGTTCAGAGTATCCTCCTTCTATAAGGCATGTAAAATTGTGATTTCATTATGCATTCAGTGCCTGAAGTCACAGTCTTACCAACAGTATAATGAAAAGGGTATTGGACTCAGGAGGCCTGGGTCTAGTTTAAGGTTTGACATTATACACATAAGAGACTCTGGGCAGAACACTTAACTTATTTGGGCTTCAGTATTGCCATAGAAAATATATTTGATATACCTGCTCTTTTATGATTCATTCCACCTCAAACTGTTCCATGATATCTAGGAATCCTTTTATTTACAAGATGAATGAGGCTAGTGAGGGAGAGGATTGTCAAAGACCTGAGAGACAACTTTGAAGTATAAACATATTGTAACTAAGCCCATTTCTATTTGGCTCTCAATTCCACAAAGTGAATGAAGAGGGCCCTAAGGGAACCTGACCTTGGAGGAAAGGCATTTACCACAAAGGCTAGGTGGCTGCCTCTCAGTTAAGGGGAAGGCAAACAGGATCCATTCCATGCCTTGCTGGAGTTATCTGCCCTGTGCCTCACCTCAGGCTCACTTACAATTTCACACCTCCTGTAGTCTATTCTAACTAACCCAATAGAAGGGCCTAGTCCAGTGAGAGAAGTTCAGTAGAAAGTTATATCAGCAAAGGTCATGAGGTCTGCCAAGTGGTAACATCTAACCAGCTGAGTAAGGGGGCCACCAGAGTCTTTGGCACAAGGGTGGGCCCTGTCAACTGAGCAGTAGGTATATCCAAAACCTTGGGAAAAGAACAGGGACTGCCTGCCATAAGCAGTGGTATTTGTCAAAAGTGACAGTGGAAGAGTTCTAAGTAAAAAGGAATGGCTATTAGCTGAGCAAAGTGGGGACGAAGCAGTAATGTAGTCCTATTAAAGAAAAGTCTTTTTGCAGAAGTCAATTTTAGCAGAGAAAATAAAAAGATTTGATTTCACAAGGATAGTAAAAGAGCCATGAACTTAAAGTTGTATCACTATGAAGGCAGAACAGAGGGCAAATGTATTTCAGAACAGAGCTTCAGGATAGAGCTTCAAGCTGTGGACACCAGGGATTACAAAAGTCAAGGAGGAGCCATGGCTTGAGAGAGCTGTTTGACAATCCACCTTTACTCAAGAATCTGAGATGGTCCTCTATTTGAGGGTAGAACTGGAGAACCTTTTACTTGAACTAGTATCTATTTCTGTATACACAGTTTTCAAGGACTTTTGGTAAAGGTTTGTAAATCAAATTATGAAAACTTATCCTTAAACTGCTTTGATCTATGGAAGAGTACAAGATTAGCTTATATATTCTTTGATTTATTTAATAATTCTTAGTGCCAATTATGGGCTAATAATGCTAGTAGAGATGTAAACAGAAATACACAAAACATTTTCCTTGCCTTCTTCTAGATCACTCCATGATCTTCAAGTCTCTTTCCCTCGCCCAAACCAGCCCTACCCATAATTTTTCACTCTCCCAATTAATGACCACTCCATACATCCTTCAAGTTGTTGAGGTCCAAAACGTTGCAGTCACCCACACTGACTCATTATTTTCTTCCAAACTCTACATCCAACTGCTCAGCAGTCATGTTGTTTCTACCTTCAGAATATAAACAGAATCAGACTATTTTATATAATCTGCAGGTGACTGGTCTAAGTCACCTGCATTTCTCCCTTACATTATAACCACAACTTCCTAACTGGTTTCCCTAATTTCACCCTTGTCTTTTTACAGGTAATTCTCAACATGGCATTCTCTTGCTTCATGGCCTTTCTTCTTGCTCTTCTCTTAGTCTAGAATGTTCTTCCTTTTGATATTCCCATAGCTTGCTCCTTCATTTCCTTTAAGTCTTTGTTCAGATGCTATCTTTGTGGTAAGACCTGTTCTGATTAACCAATTTAAAATCTGACCCTCCCCCACAGCATTCTTCATTCCCTTATCCTAATTTAGTTTACTTCTTACTCTGTACTCTTTGAACATATTATATAATTTACTTTATTGTGTTTACATTGTCTATCATCCTTCCACTAGAATGTAAGGTACATAAGGGCAGGAATCTGTTTTGGTCACTCCTACATCTCTAGCACTTATGACAGTGCACAGCATATGACAATAGAAATATATGTTGAATTAATTAATAGCTGTGGATACATATATTTAAGCATATTATTATAACATCATGGTCTAAGTGCTAATAACAGACAAATGTGCAAAGTGCTGTTGATGAAAACCATTAAGTGACTGTCACACTTTTCTACCTTTGCTTGGTTTGTTTCCTCATTTGGAATGCAACCCTTAACTGCCATACTATCCTAACCATACCAAGTCTTTAGGGACCATACTACATGATGTCTTTCTTGGGGCACTCTTTTTCTCTCTACTTTGAACCACACAGCACATGCTGAGAAGCTTCCATGGTACTTATTTAATGCTACCTTGAACCAGAAACATTCATATTCTTGTCTTCTGCCAGCCTGCTAAATTATAAACTCCTTAGGAGCAGTGATTTAATCTTTTTCATCTTTGAATCCTTCCATAGAATCGCATTCAGTGCTATGCATGAAGTTCTCAATAAATGTTGCAAAAATAAATTAATATGTCTACTTGCCTTAAAGGAATTATTTTATTGTCTTTAAGTGCATTACTGGAAAAGAATCTGATAAAGCAACTTGTATTGGCTTTGCTAGCCAGGGAATGCCTCTTGAAATCTACATTAAGATTAAAGTTACTGCAGAAATGTAAACACTCAGAATGAATCTCCAAGAAAATGGTAATTTTTGGTGTGATACACCTCTATTTGAGATTGCCTTTAAAATGAATGTATAAGTCCTGAGGACTGGCTGTTTAACTTTCAAGGATCACAGAGAATTTAATTCACTGACTACACAAAGGTAGGTGTCACTTGAAGTGACTGACGTAAGCAATTTTAAAGTCCAATTTTTTTTTTTTTTCTGTGAGCATATATCTCAAATTTAAGACAGTAGAGGCCAGGCAAGGTGGCTCACTGCTGTAATCCCAGCACTTTGGGAGGCCGAGGCAGGTGGATCATGAGGTCAGGAGTTCAAGACCAGCCTGGCCAAGATGGTGAAACCCCACCCATCTCTACTAAAAATACAAAACATTAGCTGGGCATGGTGGCGGGTGCCTGTAATCCCAGCTACTCAGGAGGCAGAGAATTGCTTGAACCCTGGAGGCAGAGATTGTAGTGAGTTATCGCACCACTGCACTCCAGCCTGGGCAACAGAGCAAGACTCGGTCTCAAAAACAAAACAACAAAACACACACACACACACAAAATAATAAAAGACAGTAGAAAACTAAGATTTTATTTATAAATAAGTTCTAGGAACAACTTTCTGGAACCTCTCATAAGTATAGGCGGTAACAGTCTTCTCCCACTTCCAAAAAAAGGTATAGTATTTTAACAATTTATACCAACTTTGAAACTTTGTCAGAATTGGAAAATATCTCTAAGATAATGGGAGATCTTTAGAGATGTTTCACACCAGAATAAAGATCTAATGCTGCTACAGCCTAGAGTTAATATGTTTGGTGGTTATCAGCTAAATCTAAGGCATAGTCAGGCAAACAATGTCTACCCTTTGATGCATATATTCTTTTCATTTTTGCTCCTTTCATTTTTGCCCCCATTGCGGCTAGTAACAGTTTAGCCCTATTTCATTTGTAGTTAAGAGCTCCCTCTGTAAAGAACCATGGTTCCCTCAAACAGTGGCACCAGCAATAAAACTAGTTGGTCATGCCAAATTCTTATCTACTGAACTAGATCTACCTATCCCAAGATGACAGTCTACTACGTTTATAATTTGTAACCCATGATAGGGGACTTAGATAATCCCCTGCCCAAAAGAAACATTTATAGTAATTCCCTTTTCTGTGAGAAACCATTTCAAATAATTTGTTTAAAGATACTTTCAAATTTATAGGCCGAACAAATGTGTTATGGGTATAGAAACTAATAACATATGCAATAACTAAGAACACTCCAGTAGCACTTTACTGTTTTCCCTTGTTATTCTCACTACCGAGATGAGAAAAAACTAAGATTCAGAGTAGAGGTCAAGTTCTGTCTGGCAAAAGACCCAGTGTCTCGTCTTATGCTTTCACATTTTATTTCTCTAGAATATTATAGGGCTGTTTACCAACATACCAAAGAGATCAAATATATTACATAAAAATCATGGGAATAAACTCAATTCTGGGAGAACTGCAGGTTGGAAAATAATATCTATGAATTATACATACTTTCGTTACCTGGTCCAGATTCCCTTTAACAACACATAAATCATTAGTAACTTTCTAGTCTAGAAACCTAGACTAATTCTTGAAAAAACTGGTTTAAGTAAGGATTTAAGGTCAAACCTGAAATACCACAGTTGCCAAACATCCCTGTACTTTTCCTTCAAAACACTGACCACAGCCTGTGGCCGATAATGAGATTCGTTTTCTCTCTCCCACTCATCTGCCTTCTTCACCGTCAGCGTCAGGCAGGAGCCTGGCCTGTAGTTGCATATAAATAAGTTTAATTCAAAACAAAACAGGTGAGCTCTGGCCAGGACCCTTGGAAGTCCTCAGACAGGGGTGTTTCCCCGGGTTCTCCATCCTCACAGCAAACGCCTACACCAGTCGTTCGTCTACTGCAAACATCGAAGAACCCGCTATTAACCATCTAGAACTCAGCACACCTTGATTTTCAGACAGGCCGCGTGCAGCTTCCACTGAGCTGCGAGGCCGACTCGCAAGCCGCCAGCGCCTGAGTGCTGGCGTCAGTCCCGGACCCGAAGCGGCGGAGCGGCCGGCGAGCCAAACGGCGCAGGAGCAAGAGCTCTGGCGCTGGTGGGAAAATCAGGCCTGGATCGCCTTGGGGCCTCGGCCTGGAGTGGGGCACCGGCAGGGGCGGGGCTTCCGCCCCAGGGGGCACGTCATCGCGGACTTCTCCCTCCCAGACCCGGGAAGTGGGTTTTTCTCAAACGGCAGCCGGCACACGGAGAGTTCCTGGCTACTCGGGTCAGGAGCGGCCGTAAGTCTAACCAGGAAGGCCCCAGCCCTGGCCAGCCTGGCGGGGCGGCCCTCCCTGCCCGGGTCCCGTCGGGGCTGTACCTCTCCGTACACCTGGCTCTGCTTTCTCAGGTAGACATGGGGAAGCTCCGCCGAGGTGGCCAGGGAATAGATGTTGCCGATAAAAGGCAGCCCCGGCGGCCCCGGAGGGAAGCCCATCGGCCGCCTCTGCTTCAGGAGCTGGCGGACCCCCAGCGCGAAGAGCAGCAGAAAGAGCGAGCCGCCGAGCGCCGCCGCTCCCTCCTCAGCTCTCCAAAGTTTCCACATCGGGCCGGGCTGGGGCTGCGAACTTCACCGCAGCCCTGAGACCCGGGCACTCACTGCAACCCTGCCGCACTCCCATTGGCAGGATATCCTCAGGTTCCGCCCTTGCTCCGTGGCCATTGGCTGGCTGAGTTAGAGTTCAAGCCCCCCTTCTCGCAATAACTACTCTCTAGCTTCGCGCGGCTTGGAGTCGGTACTGCGAAGCTGGTCGCGGGTGTTTCCCTTTGGAAGTCGCGCGGCTCTAGGCGGGGCATTGAGCCAGGAGGCAGTTTTCCAGAATGTTTACACCAGGGCATTGACGATGTGGCAGGATGGCCTCACTCACCGGGGCTAGGCGGATCCCGCTTCTCTGTGGCTAGCCCTTTCTTAAACTGTCGTTAAGAACTAGGTCTACTTATTTCATTCTGGACTAGGAAAACTGGAGAGATGATCAACACTGCAGTCTTTAGCTGAATCTGATAGTTATCAGAATTTCCAGTAGAAAATTGACCCATCAGTAGTAAAAGAAAGTAATTTTACTGTTTTACTAATCTATGTTTGTCCTGTTCGTGTATTTTTGTGTGTAATCTTTTAAGAATAGTGATGATTGAGCAGTTTATGTGCTTAACTCAGTTTACCTATATTTGACCCCTCTCTGGTCTTTCCAGAATGATTACTTATTGGCAGTCACAGGATTCTTGTCTGCACTTGTTCATGAAGAGTATTTTCTATTTTTCTGCCTCTACTGCCTGGAGTTAAACTGATTTCATAATTATTCTTGCTAATTCAGTTTTTATTCCTGTTTTCTATTCAACAGTTCCTTGCAGCGCAGGACTTACTGGGTTTGGGACTCTTCTAACAGCTGCCCTCTAATTGTGATTTAGCAGCGGCATGAGTTTTATGGTCCACATTAGCTTATGGCTCATTCACACAACAAATATTTATTGAATGTCTACTATGTTCCCATGTCCTAGGCAATAGAGATACGGAGGTATCCACTTACATTAGGAGAGGGAAGAACAATAACATGGATATAATAATTTTAGATAATCATAAGCAAATGAAAAGTATGTTATAGAAAATGCCTGGTGGTTGGGGAGATAATTATAGCAGTTGAAGGGTGTCAAGGAAAGTCTTATTAAGAAGATGATGTTGAAGCTGAGATCAACTGTTAAAGAGGTGTATTCGTTTCCTACTGCTTCTGTAACAAATTACCACGAATTTAATGGCTTACAACCATACAAATGTATTTTCGTACCATTCTTGAAGTGAGAAGTCCAAAATGGGTCTTCCTGGGCTGAAAGAGAGGTGTTTGTAGGGCTTCATTTCTTCTAGATACTAGGGGAGAATCTATTTCCTTGCCTTTTTCAGCTTCTAGAGGCTGCCCACATTCCTTGGCTTTTGTCCCCATTCCTTCCTCTTGAAGGCCATTAATGTCAGTTCAGATCCTTCCCACATTGCTCTCTAACTCTCTCTCTTTTACTTCCCTCTTCCACTTATAATAATAATTGTGATTATATTGGACCCATCTAGATTATCCTCATCTCAAAGTCAGCAGATTAGCCATTTAACTCCATCTGCAACCTTAATTCCTCTTGCCATGAAACCTAACATATTTACAGGTTCTGGGGATTAGTATGTGGACCTATTGGGGGAGGGGAGCATTATTCTGCCTACTGTAGAAGAGAAACTTGAGGCAGACATGGGGGAAAATATTTCAAACAGAGGAACTACCAAGGGCAAAGGCTTCATATTCTAAGCAAACCCTGTCCTCTGCCAGTGTTTCCAGTTCTCTACATCTCCCATGCAAGGACACTGTGGAAATCAACAAGTTAGTTAGGCCTTTGAGTTTTTCTGTTTAACTGGTTTGTGACCATCCCTAAAGGCTGAAGTTACCCCCACAGAGTATGTGATCTCCAGCCACAGAATATCTACCTACTGCCTATTACAAATCCCTATTAAGAGATTCCTTAAAATTCTTAATAATCTGATCAAATAAAAAAATAATTATGAGAGATCATTGCTAAACCTTGTCTCTAATTTCTTACCAAAGGCCAATGGAGATGACACAGGATGGATATTGGGACTGTGGGTGGGAAGCAATGCTGTTGAGGCACCAGGAGCTGTGGAATATCACCTATGGGATGCCTGAGGTCAACACTGCCTTTGCAGCACCATGAGGCTTACAGTTTTTGGTCTGGCCACAGCTGTTATGCAGTACAGGTACTTGGTTCTGGAGTGGGCCCCCTGCCATCATTTATTTTCAGAAAGGATTAATTTTCATGACAAAAACATCCTCCAATTCACTTAAATTAAAGAGCGTTCCTTCTTTGGCATTCTTCCCCTGGCTACATAGCAGAGGAGGGCTGAGTTACCCCTGATGCAGACTAACTGCACCGTTGAGATGTTTTCTACTCCACCACACGCCAGCGCCCCTTGAGAGATAATAGGTGAGGGATTCTCAGGAATAGCTATAAGTCTTTCTGGACACAGAGCTTCCCCTGTAGCAATTTATTATGTTCCCTTAGTTCACAAAGAGAAACACCCCCTCACGCTCCCTGCATTTCGTCTTTGAGTGATAGAAAACAGTCAACAATGTTTGGCTTTTATCATGACAGGAAGGTTTGGGGAAACAGGAAGTGAAGGATTTCGCTGTTTGAAGGCTGAGGTCTTATCTGCAGTACTCAGGGTGAAATGGGGGAATACCCTGTACAGGACTCTGCCATTTCTATGTACAGAACATTAATGGTTTTAACAGAGAACAGCAATGCTGTGCCAGAATCAGAGCTTCTTTCTGGGCCTTTGAGAAGTGAACTGAAGTTCCAGAATTCATCCTGAGGGGCAGTGTCAAGTGAAATTCTTGTGGGCTCTCCTTCTGTTCTTGAATGGCTGCAGCCCTGGTCTGGGCCATGGGTGTTGTCCCAGAGAGCTCCCAACACAGAGTGATGCAATCAGTGCAACTGTGCCTCCTTTGCATGTTCTATTATGTGCACTCTCAGTCTGTTTCATCAGCATAGAAGGCAGTGAGAGTCAGAGGAAGCTGAGCCATATTGGAGCTTGAGCTAAAAGAAAAACATTGATAATACTGATCCTGCCTTATTAAAAATTTGATGTTTTGTTTATAATGGGTTTTTCCCTCAGTTTTGATTTGAAAGTGTTGCATTAAAGTATTATCTTGATTCTGAGCTTCTTGGAGCCCTCTTAAATTCTGTTCCCAAGGTGAATTATTCACTTTCCTTATTTTAGTCCTTATGCTGGGAGGTAGGGTACCCAAATGAAGACTTTGATTACACAATGGTGAGTAGAAACTGTGTTTGTGCACTTGGATGCTTCTGGATGAGATTAGGAACCTTATGAAAGTCTCCCTGTGACCATTTTAAAAAGTCCTCCCTGCCCCACTGCCTGAAGTTCAGTCTTTACAAATTAATTTATCTGAATTGAACATTCCCTGTAGCAGGCTAAGTTGGAAAATGCAATCCCTGGTGGAGGGAGACTACAGTAATAGGAAGTTCCTAAAACTGCTCATACATGCATGAATTTAATCCCACATTTGTAGGCAAGACTGAATGGGAGACATGATGATACTGATTTATTTGAGGTGGTTGCATGGTAACGATGACAGTGGTGGGTGTGGGGATTTAAGAAGAGGATGCAGAAGGGGAAAGAAAGGAAGTTTCACAGAGAAACTTCTTTTCCTTCACAATTTTTCCAAAGGCTAGATTAACTTAGAGAAATCACATTTCTCAGAACCATGAGTTATTCTTGCCACTCCCTAGAGTTGCTCAGCTAACCAAGCCTTGCCACTTCCTCCCATCCAGCTCCCCACTGAGTCATCTTCTGTTCTTGTATATTGCATTCCTTTCCTTGGGTTTCAAAAAAATAGAAATCTAAAAATGCATGAACAGTTCGTGATCTTGTTGAAGACCCTCTTCCAAATGTAATAACAGAGAGTCAGAGAAAGTTTAGTGTTCTGTTGAAGGTCACACAAGATAGCACCAGTAGAACCAGAATTCTGGGCTCTTGACTTGCCATGCATTCTTTCAGCCACTCACCACAGATGTATTAGGCACCTACTAGATTAGGTGCTGGAGATATAATGGTGAGCAAAATCAGTCATGGTCCCTATGTTCCTGGGGTTTACAGTCTACTGATGGATGCCAAGACCAGTCAAATAATCATGAGTAAATTTATTATTTGTATTTTCAAACATTACTGTGTTTTCAAGATGCCAAACATTTCTGTTTTCTGAAGTAAAGAAACAGTTCTACAAGTGTGCAAAACACAGGAAATGTGATCAGTCTTGGGGGTCAGTAATTATATCCTGCACCAAACAACCAGCTTATACCCAGGGACTTCCCCATGATTGTGTTCATGGAAGATGTTACTAAAATTCTTCCCTACCAGCTGGTCTCATATGGGACACTGAGTGAAGGGAAAGGAAAGTAACAAAATCCTCTATTTAAAATTCATGAATATCACTCAGAGAGACATTTAAGTCTTAATTTAAAGCTTTCTTACTTTTGCTTTGCAAATGAGTTTCATAAGCATTCTTATATTGTGCTTCTGAAAACAGTAGATTTGAAGAAGCAAAGTAAACAGTAGATTGAATTGTTGTTAGAGATAACCACACCAACAATTCTGGAGACAGCTGACAATCTGATAATAAAAAAGGAAACTATAATTATAAAATATAGATGTAACAAACCAAAAAGCACAGAAGTCTGAGATCATTTAGGGTAGAGAATATCAATCCC